TTTCATTTATCAGCTAATGTCGATACCCTTCTTCATGGTAGAGTTTAGAGCAGGAACCACAATGGTGCATTTCATCTCTAAGAAATTAGACTTATTATCTGTGATAAAATTGCTCTGACTAGGTTTAAAACGTTGGTTTCTTTCCGCTTATTTGCCTCGATCCATAGTTGTTTTGGGCCTAAGCACACTTTGCTTCTATTTCGTTCCTTTGCGGATGTTGTTTATAATGGAAATGTGGTAACGCCATAGATGGTGAGATCTGCGAGTTTTCCTTAATCCATGTCCAGCTATCCACATAGATGGTTAACATAGTTGACAAACGTATTCGCTTGGTTAGTACATGGGTTTTTTGCTGTCGATTTAGCCAATCCTCTCGTTCGACTGTCATCCAATTTTTCCATCACTTGATCGACACATCTATGCCTTGCTCCACGGGTACGCCTCACCAGATTCCGTAGATGGATATTTGACAGGTGCAAGAATTGCGGACTTCGGGCTGATGCTGTGTGCGTCAGTTTTCTTCCGCAAGACACCGGCTAGAAACTTCATGAACGGTGTGCAAGATTGTCGTTATGATTGTACTATTAGCACACGAAATACTTACGTAATAGAGTGGTTGAGGGACTGCTGAGCTGAAAATTTGGAAGGGCTTTTGATAGGCCAAATTATTAGTATGCTTTTTGGAAACCCGAAAACTCTCAGTTACATTTGTTTTGTTCATTAGGTACTCAGACACGCAAAATGGATTCTCAGGCAAGCGCAAAATCGTCTTCCTCCACTCTTTGTTTCATGCTAATGGGTTTTCCATTCATTGAGTTTTATTGCGATTCGTTCACACTCTTATCCTGAGCATCGTTCACTGAAGTACTTCACTACTTCATTGAAGTTTTTCGAAGAACTGTCGATGTCATCTTTAAAACGAGGGTTTAATGTTTTCCAGCAGTATGCATAGCATTTTTTCGCATTCGAACGATCTCGTTATTGACTACAATGCGACGGTTTCGGCGACATGGTACCGTGGTCTCGAACCCTTCTTCCTATAACGATTGTGAGGGATCCGTGGAAGTACTTCATCGTGGCCGAGCATTTTCGATCGCAGTCAACTAGAGCTTTTTAAATTTCAAACAGACCGTCATTTACCCTCGATAGTAATAATCGCTACCTTCTTGGATTGTTAAGCTTACACGAAGCACTTATACAAGTTTTATTCGGCTAGCGTTTCGACGCGTTCGTCTTCATCAGAGCCGATGATCTGAGTCTAGCGAAAGCGTAGATGTCGAAACGTTAACTGAATAAAACTTGTACGATTTTTTAGTTTTATTTGCGGAGTGGGCCACTCCATTCTCCTAAGCATTGTTGAAATGGGCATTCACATCGAAGCTGCCAAGCTTTCATAGTCAACATCGATTAGAACAAGGCGCGGTTGTTTCTTCTATCATTTTTTATGGTACTAACTTCTTTCGTAAATTCGTTTCTACTTATTCCTTACGGCAGAATACCTATCGCTTTTGGCTCGTCCTCTATGCAAGGCAGTATTTATTGCCTTTGTAAAGAGCCTGCAAAGCACTTTGACGCACACACGACCATCGTTGATTTCGTGGAGGCTAAAAAGCCTGCGAACCCGTCCGTCCGACAATTAACGACAACTTTTTTTTGACAGTTAGAGGATTTATGAGGTCGAGAACATCAGAAACTTGTGGAAGAGACTTTGCTTTATCGATCTAGTGGTGTAGCTTTGCCACTATCTTTTTGCTGCATTCACCTTCCTAACAAATTGCTTTCAGAACATGGAAGGATTTCGCTGCTTATGTTGAATACATTTCGGTAATTCTTGGAACTCGCCATTCTATACCATATCTATGACTTACCCGTAACAATTGGGAATGGAAAAGCAGTGAATTACTGGTCAAAAATCGAACTCCGTATCCCCTACGTAACCGATGATGGGTTTTTTCCAATAAAATTTTTGTTATCCAGAGGACTTGAGATGTTTCTATCGTAACAAACTTGTGAAAAGGACTTCAAAGGACTGTCATGCCAAAAGGCTAATATAAACTTTTCCAAGACCTAATTTTTACCCTAAGGTTTTGTACTTCACTTAAAAACTGAATGAAAATGAAAATGAGTTCTAGAGCAGTAGAGTAGCTGTGTTTTGAATGATTACTTAACAAGGCACTCCGTAAATACATGTTATAGTCGACTGAGACGTCAACTGTAATTTTCATGTCTGTGGACTCAATTACAACTCTTAGATGCAATAATGGTAATCTTAAGAAGTGCGGCGACTTGTTATTATCGAGTACTCCCTAATTAGAAGAAAAGGTGGACCTAGCTTAGAAACTTTTTGTTGAAAAAAAGTCTAATTAACCAGCTGACGACGCTATGCATCCAGTTGTTCAACTTGGGACCTATGACAGTTTTGATTATAAGGTAAGCTCGATTTAACCTGGTTATGACTTTATAGAGGTAGAATAACCGATTGATAGCATTCATTGGGTTCTGTACATATTTGTCGTCGACTTCTGCAAGTGTATGCTAAATTTTGGTCTTCTGCACTTTTATAAGTGCTTTCATAAGAAAGTAGGTAGTTTCATAAGTATAAGTCTCTTTCTCATCTTTGTTCATCGAGTTTCTACCGATGTGAAGACCTCAGCTTTATCGATAGAATCCATTGATGCATGGAATCATCGTGTTTAATAGCGAATAATATAAAACCAATCCCATCATCGTTGCAACTATGTAATGGGCCAGACACAGAACTGTTTATTTTCGAAATGATGGGCTAAATAGTTCCTCCACGCTTGTGTATGTACCCATACCCCTTCCTTCTGCTCGATTATACTCCCTAATCAGGTCCGTACTGGATTTCTGACGTAGTCAGATACCTTGGCTTATGAATTCCACACCTACGGTCGATATTAGCCACATACCACTCCATGATGCTCACGTCCCGCGCTCAATTTTTCGTGGGCGTTAGTTGGGATGCCACCTTTTTCCCGTCAGCTACAGAACTGGGCAACTCGGCTACGAATAAAACATCAAATAACGAGCAACGCTGGCTTTTCGACAGCATTCTGAAGAGATAACACGAGCACTTGAAAACATAAAAGAACAAATCCCGGCTTCCTATTAACCTTGAGATTGGTCAATAACTCACTCTCTTTTTTGAAAAGCAGACACGGTGTTGTTATTACATCATTTATTCACAATAACTGACGTTTCGGCGATTTCACCTTCTTCAGAACCTGCAAAGGTCAAATTGGGAAGCAATCTTTTGGGTCAAACATTTCCATAACCTCGACAGATAAAATTTAATGCTTAAATTTCCACTCGAAGAGTGAACAGCGTCTTTTAAACACTCATAGTTTTTTTTTGTGCTAGCTGATAATACACCGACCTCTGCACGATGTGCGCAATGATGTATGTCCGGAAGAAATACAAGTTGTTACCACCGGACATTGTCATTTTATATCCACCATCAGCATCGTGTATAAAAGGGCATCACTGAGTGAGGATGCCTCATTCGAGAAGATGGCTCGCTGAGGAAGATCTGGCTCGACACGAAGGCGAAGACGCAACGTCGAGGCGAACAACAAGCATGGACTATCGACTCGGATCACCGGCTCTGAGGAAGACGAAGACGTCGAAACGTTAGCCGAAAATAAATATATTTGTCAACCTCGTGCAAGCTTATCAAGAAAGAATACTCATAGTTTTGAGATATTTGCAAAACTCTGGACCGCAGGTGTCTATGGTGGGGAACGAACGCGCTATTATCCTTTCCGGGGAGTAACGCGTTCACCACCACACCATGCGGGTCCTTTGTTTCGCACGTCTCTCAGCTATTTTTATCGATCTTTTTGCCACAGCAATCACCCGTCAGCGGGGTTGATCTGGGGAGCGCAAATCGGCATAGAACCCAGTTAAGCTATGGCTGTAGTTGAAATCACAATGTTTAACGTTTTGTTTTTGTGTCTTCCAGTTATTTGATGGAGACCAGCCGCTCATAATCTTACGTGGATGGGTGATGAGCTCCTCTCACGTTGAAATAACAGTCTGAGATATTGTGTGATCAGAAGGCACTCTCCTCTCTGCGGCTCATTTTTGGGTTGTTGAAGTTGGCCCATTTCGCTTCAAGAGTTTTTTGTTTCGGATTCCTGTGAGATGATAGTAACTTTTGCTTCAAAATCTTTTTCGTTAATGATTTTGTGCCCTATGAGTGCCTAGTCGAGTGTTTTGTTTGGCTTTGAGTTTCCCAACTAGGTGCTCTTCTAGATGGACTCAGAGTGGTTTACACGTTTCGCTAGAACAGTTTACTGGAAATAAAACGTACCGAAACTCATACAGTCGCCATGTCTAGTGTCAGGCCAAATTATGCGATTCTGTGTTATACACAGATGGTCGTGGAAGCTATTACAAACTAGTTGACGTTTTGGAGTGTTCAGTCTCTGCTACCGAATTTGCTGGACCGGCCCGTTTTAAGCATCGATTTGTGCCTGTTCTTACTTTGTTGAAGATAAAACGCAAGTTAAACGGGCCCTCTTCTTCGCTATACTTTTCGTTTAGGGGCATGACTTTTCCTCTAAACCTATCCCGAGCGGCAACGGCTTTGTAGACATTGGAAATGACTTTTCATCACAGCAAATTGAGGGATTCCCATAACGATGAGAGGAGAAGTAATGAGCCAGTGTTTTTGTTACATGGCTTTCATTATCATTTGATGATGTGGCTGTTTTTAGCTAGGTTAATGTGAACATTCAAAAACGGAAGCCACTCTTCTCTCGATTTTTCGAGGGTGAAATTTGTGTGCTTTAACTGTTGATTTAGCCATTCGAAACATTTTCAAAGTGCAGAAATTCCACCCAAGTAAAGCCGACGAAAGATTGACTTCCTTTTCGAACGTTCGCATTAACCTAATTTAGCCGAACTATGCGCTCGTCTGCTGTTTTTTCGAGTTTGTGCTTTATTGGTTCCCAAGAGGTTTCAACTTCGTGGAACATTTAATGACTCCGAGGGCGGTGAGAGAAATTACGAAACTAAAGTTCTGTGCATGAATGTTCATTAAATAGTACTTTGTTTTTCATGACTTTCTTCAAAGAATTATTGGTTACTTTAGCACTTTTCGATCGGCGCGACAAACGTTACCTACCAGCAACATAAAACCAGTCGCCAGGAACGAGCTTCGATTCTGGGAAAGCACGATGGGTTTCGCGGATGCACCATCTGGTTCACTGGACTCTCTGGAGCAGGGAAAACAACGATCGCCTTTGCTGTAGAAAAACTTCTCACACAAGTTAGTTCCTTGTAATGTACCACCAATTATGGGTCATTTTGAGAGTCTCGAATTGCAGAATGGGTTTCTCGAAGATAGGAAACTTCTCACACAAGTTACCTCCTTGTAATGTTGTACCACCAGTTATGGGTTATTTTGAGAGTCTCGCACTGCAGCATGAGTTTCTAAGGAGAAAAATTTATAGTTTAAAGGAGGGTGTAAAAGTTTTTCAATAACGAGCGCACTTGCTACCTTAGACTCTACCAATTAAGTATGTACTTAGGGACTTCTCAGTGCTGCTTACAATCAATTCTTTGTAGTGCCGATGTTTACTTCTAAAGACTAGATTTCTCTGTAGATTAGTCGTTTAAATCAGCGCTGAAGGTAGCTTCCCACAATACTGTAATCATACATGGTTACAACATAAGCATGAAAAACTCGTCTACATTGCCTTACAATCATCAAACTGAGCTTATATGACATCCTGTGAGATGGGTGAAAGAATGGGAGGGTGAAATATTAAAATGGAGGTTGTACGTTTGTGTATGAATGTTGTTTGTAGATGGGAATACCATGTTGTGGTCTGGACGGTGATAATGTTCGCCACGGTCTTTGTAAGAACCTCGGCTTTTCAAAAGAAGATAGAAGTGAAAATATACGAAGGTGGGATTAATTTCGAAGCCTTTTCCACCGTATAGGTTCTTGCAGTTAGATCATACTTTTTAGCGACTAATGATAACAGAAATTTCCTTTTTTAAAGGGTAGCCGAAGTGTCTAAGCTATTCGCCGATCAAGGTTTAGTCTGTTTGTCGTCATTTATTTCACCGTTTCTTGTCGATCGCAATGAGGCGAGGAGAATTCATGAGACGGTATGGGCCAATATTGGGCTTCTTATATTAACACATGAGACCCGATATGAATTGATTTCAGCTCGTAGGTAACAGAAAATGTCTGCTCTTTTCACTTGTATACAAATTTGTGCGTTATTAGTGAATCTTATTTGATTGAAATACACGTCATGAAATCCGCAGGTCTTTCCCAGCATTACGTAAGTTTTCATATTTCACTAAGAGGAATATTGTTCCGTTTCTTCTTCTCGGTGTACATTTGTCGAACTGCGAAGCAGTTAAACAAAAAATTTGAAAGGGAATGGTGTACGCTAATGTACCGTTGATTTTGAAGACGACGTGCATATGTTAAAAGTTTTAAAAACTCCAGTTTCGTTTCCAGTTCCAATTAAATTTTAACTCTGTGGGAATTTAATGTTGAGTTAAAATTCCAGAGGGAGAAAGATATATACAGTCCTAGTTCGATAGAGCAAAATCTGTTGTACAAATTTGTCGCTCTTTAACTCCTCAAATGCTTCCATCATGGTTAAAAATACGGCTCAAAGAAAATTAGATGTCATCCCACGCATTCGGCGTTAAGAATAGGATGTCGGGTCATGTGTGTTAAATTGATCACTGATCTGAACTCTGCTTTTGTATATTCAAGTTATTTAGGATAATCTCGGCTTTTTCGAAGTCTACTTGAGTACTTCACTAGAGGAATGTGAGAAGCGCGATCCGAAAAGTAGGGTTTTTTTGTCATAGATCCGATAACATTGTTTATATATCTTACGAATAATCCTTGTTGAGCTGACGCGAAGTTGCTACTACTTGTTGTTCAATGGCATCTGCTGATGTTTCGACGATTTCGATCTTTCTTCATACCATAAACATATTATACAGCCACATTATTTGGTTGTTTGGGTAATATTATCTAGTTCTAGTAGGAACCTAATTCACAAGCCAAACTAGAAACCTGTATATTAAAAAGGGTTAACGAATCAGAAACGAAAGTACGGTACCCGTATATGGTCTCTGCACAATGATCAATGAATCCTAGTCAGATCATAAATTAATCTGGGATAAAGCGCCAAGTCATGTGTGATAGTGAGATATTCATCTTTTCCACTCATTTATGGATTTTGGAAGTTCGTCCAAAATGCATCAAGCGTTTTCCGCGTTGATGTTTCTGATTTTCCTTCAGGATCGTAACAGCTACTTCGAAATCATCATTATTGCTTTGGTGCACCTATGTGGACCTAGAGGAGTACTTCAGCGGGTTTTCAACTTTGATTCTAGGTGTTCTTTAATGTGGACATAAATTAGTCTCTCTGTTTCCACAACATATTTATTCATCACCGCATATCTCACAAGAAATCAGGTGGATTATACCTGTACTCATGCAGTCTCCGTCTCTGCAGTTAGAGCAAATCACGTGATCTTCTGTATTACACAGACGGTCGTATAGGCAGATGCTAATGCTCGATGAACGTTCAATAACTGTCTGTCACCACACTAGAGAATAGCCGAATAGCAAAGTAGTATGGGTACATGATATGTCTAGGCTCTGAAGAAAGTGACGTCACCGAAACGTCGTCCATTGTAATTGAAGAATAAGTCATAACCTCACGTAAGCTTAACAAGGGCTGTTCGTATGGTATTGTTTTTAAGTATTATTGTCGAGGTTTTTTGAAAGTCGGGTTTTTGAATTGTCCAGATATTTTACGAATTGGATTGTTGGAGTATCTGGAGTTGAGAACGATCAAGAAAAAAAGTGGATCAATTTTTCAATTTTATTTCTATGACTACGCAGAACCACTATTTGCTTGCTGGCACACTTCGACGATGGCAGAACAACTTGAACGATTGTAACATGACATCACATAATGCATTTTGGGTGAAATATGTACAACTGTCGTTTACCACTTCAGTGCTAGGGAATGTTCATCCCATCCATTAAGGTCTCCTAAGTTGAGGAATCTAAAATTTTCATCTGTAAAGTCAGTGAAGAGTTATAAATATAAGAACTTGTCAGGACACCTATGCTATACGCCAGTCAAAAACGAGAAAAGTAAAGACCCTCCTAGTTTGTCGACAAAATATGAGGAGTTTCGTGTTCCTCGAGCTTGTGCAACTTGCTGAGTAGCTACGATTCGCGTGGAGGAAAACAGGAAAGGTTTATTGGTGCCGGCGATGGTGATTTATGCGACAGTTGATGCAGCTTTATGTTGGAAGATAGCTTCAGCACTTTCCCAGAGTTGCTACCGTTTTTTGAAACCGTTGTTCGGCAACTAGAATAAGCAGTTATCAGGTTGAATGCGAGAGTGCTTTCAGAGCTCTACTGGAAGGCTCGAGCTGGTGAAATTTCTGGATTTACTGGTATCGACAGCGCTTACGAACCACCAGAGTCTCCTGAATTGGTAACACTTCTTTGTGTCATCCTTGCTTCATAGCTTTACTTTTCGTTAGTTGTTAGAAAAAAAAGAAAAGAAAGAAGAAAAAAGGAAAAAAGAAGAAAGTTTAATCTACGGATTTTGGGTGCCATCCTGTGTGTTCTTTAGAAAACATTAGCACTTTTATAGAGAACTTTATCGTGTTTTTCAATAATCCAGTGCTTAATCATCTAGTGTTATAATTCCTTTAAAAACTGCTTATTTCTGTGCCAAGGTAATCGATACGGAAGTACACAATGTTGACAAGTGTGTCGAGATGGTAGTTACTTTTCTTCACGGAAAGGGTATTATTCCAGATAAGGTTAGTTTTCTAACGTAAAGCCTCAAAGCTGTGTAATTTCTTAGAAATCACTTTGGGCTTACATGCTTCAATGCATTAATTTCGTGTATCCTATCAGCCTCTTGAAGTGCTAATTGAATCATGCCATAAGTGCTTAATTTCTATAATTTAAATAAGTGAAGCATAATTGCTAATGTACTTCAGGTGATCAGAGTTGAAACGCTGAATTACAGGCAATGCGGAAGCTTTCGTATCCACCCTTACGAGAGCTGTTTGTTGAGAGTGTTGAGGAGAAGCTTGCACTGCTTAAAGCGGCCAAAAATATGCCAGCTATAGAGTTGGGACCAATTGATGTGCAGTGGCTTCAGGTTTATTCTGTTTCAACGTCTTACAACAGCTTTAGGATCATTGATCGGCTAGAATTTGTAGTTTTTAATCACGGTAATTTCGTCCTTGTACGGACCTTGTGGGTTAACTAGATTTAGGATGAGAAGCAGACAGTAATTCCCGCATATCTTTGATTTTTTCAACAGTACTTATATGTTAGGTTCTTATGCACTATTTTGAAGGAATCTGTCACAGAACTGCTAAAATGTTTTTCACGTCTGAATGAATAAAATTTCAGCTACCGTATTTTTTTAGAGCTTAGAGGTGGCCCATTTATTCTAGTCCTAATGAATTCTAACACCAACTTTCGAGTCCATTTATACCACTTCTGCCATTTTTGGCCAGATGGAAAGAAAATAAGCTTATATGGCTTATAAATTCGGCAGCTCCTGACATTCTTAAAGGAGTATTTTAGCTCTTTAATACTGAGATGACGTGGGGATTATGCACAGATCGGAGAGTTGGCATTGCCAAGAAGGCTGAAGTAGAAGCCGCAGTTCTCTATTTGTAAGCTTTCTTCTATTTTAGGAATATAGGTGATTGTTTTAGCATCCTTGCACAATGGGATGAACAAGTGTTTTAAGTTAATGAATGGACACTCACAGTGCATGAAGTTCACCCGAGAGAAATCGGAAACGATTTGGCATCCATTCTTGAGCTTTCAAATAAACCATTCCAAAAGTTGAGAGTTCCCAAAGTTGTAAAAGTTAAGAAGTGCTATTTCATTATCTCTTCTCTTATCTTTCATACATAAAGAAGAATATTAGCAGAAACATGTTAGGAACGCTTTCGTGTGTGCACATGAAGAAAGGAGATGAAGTAATGGCATGATTTGGCGTGATCCATAGCTGTATCCTTTGGCTAGGAAACTATAGGCAGTGGGATTGGCTATAACGAAATCTCATGCGCCAGAACAACACCTCAAACACCTGTAGCATCGGTTCAGTTCCTTTCCACCCTCAAAGAAATTCTACGTCATCCATTACTTTGAGATCGTCTGTACCTATACAAAGCACAAAATCATAAGGCGTGCTCTAAGTACAAAAGCGGGTAGTGCATGAAATTGGGTGGAGTAAACCAAATCTCTTGTAAAGTGAGTGAAGAGGGCTTTGTTGGAGAAACGAGCACTTCTTGTCCTCATAGAAGGACACCTATTGGAGAATTCAATCTTGACAAAGGATTCTGTAGGGAGCAGCAAAAAAAGAAAAGCATAACGGTGATGAGTTTCGAGCTAATATCACAGTCCTAGCCAGTATTCGAGAATATCGACGGCAAAACTGTTCGAGGCGTTTTTTATCAGCTCCAAAGCTCTAAAATTAACACGGAGACATGTACGTCAGTATCGTATGTGACATGGCATCGTATTCTAGATTAATCTTTTTGATTTGAACTTCATTTAACATCTTTGTTCATATCAATTACATTGCGCGTGTAGCGCAGTGGTCACACACGCCGTGCAATACACATGGAATCTATCCCACGCTCCTGGGCCGGCCACCAAGCCTTCCATTCCTCCGGAGTCGGCAAATTGGTACCAGACTTGTCTGAGAGGATAGCAGCGCTGACTCGTTATTTGGATAGGCCATCGTGTATCATTGTATGGGCCAGATATGCATTCAGCCACTCTAACGATGCTTGATGAAGTCGAAGGCATGGCGCATCCATCAGGAATTGATCAACGACGAGAGCCAACGGCGACTGCTTTGTAGCTTGTTTGAAGTTTGTGTTTGACTTTCACTAACACTGTAAAACTGTTCACCTAGCGGCGAAATAATAATACTTCAGCTTCCACTCTGGGAACGTCCGTTCAGATAAATATTAGCCACTAAGAACTAAAACGCTTGTTATTTATGACGTCTCTTATCGTTGTCACGGGTAGCCGAATCTGGCAATTGAAAATTTTCAGGTGCTTGCTGAAGGTTGGGCAACCCCCTTACCAGGATTCATGCGGGAACGCCAATATCTACAAACGATTCATTTTGGACAACTTCTCGACCTGAAGAAGAAGACCGTGTTTCCTGGAGAACAGGTAGTTTCAGTAATCGTTGATTTTTTCCGGCCAGAAACTGAGTCGAACTGAAATTGTTGTATAACTTCTTTTAGTGAAGTAAAACATGCGTTGTTGATCATTAGGTTGTCACGATTTCTGAAGTATATTTCATAGAGTATTGGAAGAGTAATGTTTACAAACATATATCCTTTATGTACTTTGAGGATGACGGCGCGTCAGATTCTTGGCGGTTGGATGAGCCCATAAACCAGAGTGTTCCGATAGTGTTGCCCATCACAGAAGAGCAAAGAAAAAGCATCACTATTGGTAAGTTCTGGGATTAAAGTACTAATTCCATAGTGCTTGTAAATCCCAGCAGACAGTCTTGTTTCTTTCTAAGAAAGAGCTCGTCGACTTTCTAGCGGTACTTTTGAAGACACCTGCGAATTTGGTCTCACTTCATAATGCTTGTTGTTGTGAAATAGGTTTCGTTAAAGATGATCCTTTTTCTCTACATTTATGTCTTTTCTCTATTCCAAGTTATATTTTCGTTTCCATAAAACTTACAATCTCTCTTTCTTTCTCTCTCTTTGTTTCTCATTATTGATCAATCCCTGAGCGATGAGCCACCCGACTTCATTAAGCATCGCTGAGGGTGACTGAATGCATATCCGGTCTTTACAATGACCTGTGGTGGCCTGTCGATGTATCGAGTCAATGCTGTCATCCTTCCAGACCAGCGTGGTAGCAACCTGCCGACTCCGAAGAGATGGAATGCTTGGTTAGGCCAAGCCGCGGGGATTGATTCCATGTGTGTTGCATGGCGCATCTGACGACTGCATGACACGCGCCACTTTATGAGCATATTAATCATAAAACATCACACATACCCAATGTTAGTTTACACCTCTAAAGAAAAAAATCCAACTAATGTAAGGATTGTGAGAAGGAATTCTGGGCGATTGTGAACACAAATAAAATTGATTAAAAACGGGCTCCCCAGATCAATTCCGCTGACGGATGATTGCGGATGGCAAAAGATCGATAGAACTAGCTGAGAGACAGGCGAAACGTAGGACCCGTGTGGTGTGGTGGTGAACGCGCTACTCCCCGGAAACGACAGTAGCGCGTTCGTTCCCCACCACATACACCGGCGGTCCGGAGTTTTGCAAATATCTCAGCACCATTGAAGTTATATTTCACAATGTATACTCTGCCGTTAAAAAGAGTAGGGAGTAAATAATAAGTTAAAATTGTGATTAATAAACGTTTTTTGACCGGCTTTACAAATCGTACGATCCCCAGGATACTTTCCACTTGCTGTGTTCGCTCGTCATTGTCCTCTCTGGACAGAGTCTGTTGCTTGTATGATGATTTCTGCAGACTTCAGTTATTGTCAGGCTTACCATTTTAAATTAGCTGAGGTGGAAATGTTGCACGGGTTTCAGGGCTGTTTTCTATTTCTAGGCGACAATGTTTCTCCTCAAATCGCACTCACTCGCAATGGTTCCGTACTGGCCGTGCTCAGCGACGGCGAAGTGTTTGCACATCGTCGTCATGAGCGCGTGGCTAGGCAGTTCGCCTTCACTGACGCGCGACATCCAGCTGTCGCCCAGGTGCTTTCCAGCGGACCATGGTGTCTCGGAGGTGATCTGAAGGTATGTACAGTCATGAAGCAACGCGACAGTTTCTATAGAAATTCGCATCGCTGATTTTCTGGATCCGAAACAAATCTTCACGATTAGAATTATCTCCTGATAAAAGTTTTTCCATGGGAAAGATAAGAATCACATCGCTTGATCATAATGTATGTGCACGCCCTACAGCTTTCGCCAGATGCTTTGCACATACTGTTGTAAACCGGCTCTCATTTAACCTGGGTATGACTGAATGATGAACCTTGTTTCATAAATAAGCAAACATGAGGTTGTTGCCAAACGTTTATTCTGCTGACGTGTCGGCACCTTCGTCTTCTTCAGTGCCGATGATCCGAGACGATGTTCCACAGCTGTTGATCTTCTCGATCAGGTGTCTTCGTCATTGTATTGAGAAATACGTTGGGTCGAAAAGTACGACGACGAACACAACACATCGAAAAGGCGATCGATTGTGAATTATCACAACCTTGTGTTAGCTTATCAATGGAACAAGGTGCTATCCACACAATTTTGTATAGTATAGACAAGAATTAAGAATAGATGCGAAAAATGCTTTTGCTGTCATCTCTATACATTATATGCATAAATTTCTTTAAAAATCTTCCCATCTTGGATTGTTAGGGAACGGTGTGATATTTAGCAAGGCATACCATAACATTGAAACTATACGTTCTTCATGCACATTACTTCATTAGGTGCTGAAACGAATCACTTTCGACGATGAACTGAATGCTTTTCGAAAGACTCCAAATGAATTGAGGAAGATTTTCCAGCAAAAAGGTAAGAATTCAGTTAGGTTGCTTTGAACGCCTTATGGCACCGTCGAGCTACAGAGCATATCATTCAATCTGCTCTGTTCAGATGCTGACGCTGTGTTTGTTTTCCAACTACGTAATCCAATTCATAATGGTCACGTTCTTTTGATGAGAGACGCACGAGAGAAACTCCTACAGAAGTACCGTAATCCGATATTACTGCTACATCCACTAGATAAGTTGTTTGCATAACTTTATAACTTTAACCGCAACGGCAACAATTCCCTTTTTCCTTACTTAAGTTTGGTCTGTTTAAGTCTGATTTTCTTGTACCTTAACTTTGGTCGGACTTTACAGTTCCGTTAGCAGTGCCGTCACGAGCACTGTTCTGGATCGAGCTCGCACTGGACCCATCAAGTCTCCTATTCCTCTACGGTGCGGAAATTGGTAGAAAATTTGTCTGGGGTCAAACCATTCTCTCTAATTTACGTGAAAGTGCCCTAGCAGAGTCCCAAAATTCAGGAGAAAATCTTTCAGGAATTTTCATAAAGAAGCCGAAAATCCTCAACCTTCAGCCGAACTCGTACACAAGGGTTTGAAGGTTTTGTAACCGACTGAAGTTAACAAGCGAATTGATTGTGTGCAAATGCTGGCATCTGCGCAATAAGTAGTGTCCGGTTATGTAAAAAAATTTTGACTTGGTTCTAAGAGGATATCGGGTGAACCGTTTGGCGTTGATCAATCCCTTAGTGAATCGCCATTCATTTAACTCCATTAAGCATTGCTACGTGGTTGAATGCAGATTTGGCCTACGCAGTTACTCGTATAGTCTTGCCGGTTTACAAAGTTAGTGTTTTTGTCCTTCCAGACAACTGTGGCAGTAATTTGCCGAACCCATAGGGACAACGTGGTTAACGACTAAATTGTAAGTTATGTGCGCATTGTTGGACACATGTAACTACTGAACTATGGGAGCCAATTCAGTTGGTCTTACCTAAAAAATTTACAATATTATGATGCATATAGGACTCATATGTGATCAATTAAAATTATGGTAGTATTGTAACTTTAAACGCACATATTTCATCTTTTAGTGAGCTTTTTAAGTTGAACTGAAAAGGTTGCACAAATCTTTTTGAATAAGACACGAGTAAACATGTCCCTCCATGAAGAATGTCTGCTTTTCTGTTTGTCAAGGTTGCCATTTTGAAAAACAAGGCGATTACCTAAACGGGATTTTGTCCTTAAGGACTCATTGTTGTCAGCGAATACTTCGCTGTGGTTTGCTGCCGGCGTGTTCACGTAAAAACTGTAAACAACGGTAGAGTGCTTCTTCTATGTCTATCAAGTACAAAACATTGGTGGATTTTGTCATCTTCGTAGACGTCACACAAGTTTTTGAATCTGACACTAGAACTGGGTATGATAAGATAATGAATCCTATAGATTATTTCTAATTGTTTTCAGGTGGTTGGATCAAGGAAGACGATGTTCCGCTAGCCGTGAGAATACGCCAACATGAGGCTGTTATCACCGAAGGAGTGTTGGATCCATCGTGGACAGTTCTCTCCATATTTCCATCTCCTATGATGTATGCAGGACCTACAGAAGTGCAATGGCATGCCAGGTATATAGGACAGGCGCTGAATTGGGGAAATCGAATTTTGTATTCAATCTTACCCTTTTTATTTACTGCCTACTATAATTTTTAACGGCAGGGTATCATTTGAAATACAACTAAGATAATGCTGAGATATTGGCAAAACTCCGAACCGCAGGTGTCTGCGGTGGGGAACGAACGCGCTACTGTCCTTTCCGAGGAGTAACGCGTTCACCACCACATCATGCGGGTCCTCCGTTTCGCCTGTCTCTCGGCTAGTTCTATTGATCGGCGCTATCAGCAATCACCCGTCAATTTTTGGGCTACCTAGATCAGTCCCGTTGACGGGTGATTGCTAATGGCGTCGATCAATAGAACTAGCTGAGAGACAGATGAAACGGAGGATCCGCATGGCGTGGTGATGAACGCGTCACTCCCCGGAATGGACAATAGCGCGTTCGTTCCCCACCGCAGGCACCTGCGGTCCGGAGTTTTACCAATATCTCAGTATTATCTTTTGTATTCAATGATTTCACATATGTACTTTATATATTAAATCTCCTTATTGACAAAAATCCAAAAGCTTCTGTTTTTGTAGTCGCATACTTTTGGAAACTTTCTATGTTACAGTTACAATGACGCGCCTTGTAGATTCTTCATCAAATATCACTCTTTTTGGAAATCTCAGAAGTAGACCTTCTTCAGCCTTCCAACACTTTAAACTCATGCTAAATATTGTCGCTGGACTGCTTATAAGTTTTTATAAAATTTTTGCTGCAACAAAAATCGTTCACCTTCTCTTCCGAAATCCGGTTAGTTATCGACTAATCTGGAACTATCAATAACTTTCTTTCGTTTACTAGATGCTCAGTGGGCTACGCTGGTCCTAGGAATAGTAGAGCTACCACACTCTTGATATGATCCTCCTTCTTTATTGCGTTTGATGAGGAAGTAACCAAAAGTCAAAAGGTCGTGCTCCGCCGTGGTATAGAGCTTGACGTGTCCTTAGCGGGTTTTTTTTTTCAAAAGAAACGAAAGCTCGTATGAAATGCTGAGATATTTGCAAAACTCCGGACCACAGGTGTATGCAGTGGAGAACGAACACGCGCTGTTGTCCTTACCGGGGAGCAGCGCACTTCACCACTACACCATCCGGGTCCTTCGCTTTGCATGTATCTCAGCTAGTTCTATCGATCTTTTTGCCGGAGTGTTTGCTGATGGCAAAAAGATCGATAGAACTAGCTGAGATACATGCAAAGCGAAGGACCCGGATGGTGTAGTGGTGAGTGCGCTGCTCCCCGGTAAGGACAACAGCGCGTGTTCGTTCTCCACTGCATACACCTGTGGTCCGGAGTTTTGCAAATATCTCAGCATTTCATACGAGTTATAATTCGAAACATAACCTGACATTAAGAAGAAAAAGGCAGTAAATAAAAGAGTTAAGAAGTGAAAGCTGTCAGAGAGTGCTGTTTTTGCTGCACTCGATTTTAATGTTCTTTTATTATGTAGATAAATAGCCAAGCAATTTTCTGCCTTTAACTCTGTACATTATCACGATAAAATAGACCCGATGCCACTCACATTGGCTTAATTTTCAACTGATGTGTGGTCCTAATTTAGAGCTCGTATTGCTGCTGGTGTGCATACCTATATTGTCGGAAGAGATCCAGCTGGTATCCAACACCCTGATACTGGAGATTTTCTTTATGAACCAACCCATGGTGCCAAGGTGACTTGACATTTTCGTGAAATATCCGTTGTTTTTTACTGCTTTGACAATAGGATTTTTGCTAGATTTCAAATGAGAAGTTCAGGAAAACAAAAGAGTTTTTAGAGCGAGATTTACTTTAGCGGAACTACCTTATCGATAAAAGAATTTTAGAAAACAGGCAACTATTTCGGAGCCGAGATCAAATGTCGTCTTTTGAAGAAATCCCTAAAATTTGCTAACCTTTGGAATCTACTTGTGTCTGCCTTTTTCTCTTTCACGTCATTCAGTTCACTCATATTTATTCCCTTGAAACTCTTGCAATATGTACTATCACCTATTGGTTGGTTGGCAGATAGTTTGAATCTTTCATCAGAGAAAGAAATAAGGGTCAATTCCTACATTTCTTTAAAAATTTAGGATCTTACATTTGCCTTCGACGGACGTGAACTGCTTTCAGTACTCGAATAATCCTGTATTGAAGTTTTAAGGACGGAAGTAGTTTGTTTAATGTGTTGCAAGCTAGTCTTCTCATTTTGCATTTGGCTGCGACCTTCTTTACAAAGCAATATTCTACTTTATTATTCATTTAAAGGCACATGTAGCCTTGTAAATTAGAGGTGCAGTGCATTACACACTGCATTGGTCACTGGCTGGATTCTACATTCCATACATACCATCCATTCCTCCGGGGTCTGGAAGTGGATACCAGGTTTGTCTGGGACGATATCAACATGGACTTGATACATCGGCAGACTACCACAAGTCATTCTGTAGGTCTAATAAGCGTTTAATCCCTACTATGATGTTAGGTTGGAGATGAAGTACATTGCACAGAATATCTCTAAAGAAACTTGATCATTCTCATCATCCGTCTACATAAAACATCGAACTGTTTTTCCTCCAGTACTAGTGGGATTTATATGGGTACCAAAAAACAAACAGAACACTTTAATTTCAATAATTGGTTGAATACTTGGGTAGGAGAGTTGCACTTCCGTATCTTTTTCGTACCAGTTCGCTGGAACTAAGGTATTTCGTCACTTCCGTATCATACCGCTTCATATTTGGTAGTTGTCAATATCGGAAATGACTACTGAGGCAAATCACTACAGTGAGCTATTTAGAACGTAATTTCAGGTGCTCTCAATGGCTCCTGGTCTGAATCAACTACACATTCTGCCGTTCCGTGTAGCTGCCTATGATAAAAAGGTGATGAACGATATTCACTCCTAACTTGAAACTACTCTTTTAGCAAGTAACAATTACAATTCTTGTGATTGAAGTATTATTCAAACCTTCAGGCAAACAAAATGGCATTCTTCGATCCTTCCAGGAAGGAGGATTTCGATTTCATCAGTGGCACTCGAATGCGTCGATTAGCAAGGTTGTAGAGTGCAGTATTTGATTACTTGTGTAGCATTCTTTTTGAAGAGTTTGAGAGAGAGTTAGATATGGTTAGAGAAAAATTATTCTGCTGAAGTGAGCCGAATCCTTTAAAACACCTTTTCCTTTGTGCAGAACTTCGCTTTTTGCCTTAGTGGATACACAGTAGTTTGTTTTTATTTCGAAAAATTATACCTTCGCCAGTTATTTATGAAAAGGAAGCAGTTACGGGCACGGTTAGCACGGTGGTGGTAATGCCCAGTGCCCTGGTTCAAATACGCATCGGGCTAACCAAACTTCCCAACGAAACTTTTCATCCCTACGGGTCGAGGAACTGGTCCCTGACATGTCTAGGAGGCTCCCTGCATGAGGCCTGGGAACGTCCTGCTATGGCTATCCAAGGATTGCAGATAGAAATGACTTGACTAGCACTTAAGACAAATCTTAAGAAAAATCAGATTCCTCAAACAGCAGCCGAATCCGCACATAAGGTCTTCGTGGATGATTGCTGCGAAGAAACAAGCCGAATTAAGTGCTATATCTGCACAATATGTGGTCCTGGTCCAAATGAAGATTTAAAAAATATCTCTGCTATTTATTTGTAAAACCAAGCAGATATTCTAGTGCGTTAACTATTATCGAGTGAACAAATGGCTAGACAACAATGAAAATCTGACGAATTGATGACGCGGGATGCATGCGTAGGAAACTCATATGTGGACTTTTTGTTTATGGCTTCATTAGCATTGTTCATCTAAGCAGTCTATCCACTGCTGAACCAGTGTGTATGTCCGTCGGCTTACAAAGTAATATTTACTGAAACTTGAGTAGCTATAATGCACTACAACCTATCGTTGATGAGAGAGAGAGAGAGAGAGAGAGAAGGAGGACGAGAGAAAGGGAGAGAGACGAGAGAAAGAGAGAGAGACGAGAGAAAGGGAGAGAGACGAGTTGTTAGTTTATAAATGGGTGGCAATTCTCTAATTTTCTCATTAAATTCCACTAGATAAGGTAAAAGTCGTTTTTTTTCCGGTCCACTTATTGTTTGTGGTTTTTTTTTCTTACCATGAACGTTAGTGGTAATTCCCATCAGCTATTTCCAGAAGTGGTCAGACACCTCCGGATGGATTTATGGCACCGTTGGCTTGGAAGATTTTGTCCGATTATTATAAATCACTAGGCAGTGAATAGCTTTAGTTCAGGGACATGTGTAGTCCTCCTTTTAGGACTTTCTATAACTTGAATCTTGTGGAAAATATCTTCCAAGGCTGTTTAATTTTTTCATGTGTTCTCTTCTCAAGCTGTTCAATTTACCTTCCACCGTCTCAGTTTTGTTCTACATTGTCATCGTTAAATTCATCTCGATTCGAAGGTTGTTTATAACCATATCATGTTACTGGGCTTCAATAATAGGGACCTAATCTATGGTGAGCACATTTTTTCATCGTTTGTGAGGTCATTTCAATGGCTTTTAGACACATGTGACTCTCTGTCATCTTGGAATGTAATCGAAGCTTTCCATCTTAACGCAAAATATTTAGCAATGTCATAGTCCTGAATATCGCTGATTTGTTCAACTTCTCACCCACATGAGGGTAAATGGTTTCTTCCTGTGGGAATCTTTGATAGTATAATAACGCTGTTGTATCGTTACACGAAGGTTTGATTCTGTAAGATTCGGAGCCTCTCTGCTCTTGTTGTCTGGCCTTTACTTTATATCATATCCAGCCGAGTACGTTTCCTGAATCGACAGTGAAGTAGTTTTGGTATTGTTAATCATTAAAGGTGATAAATTCTTGGGATAGCAAGACGATTTTGGATAATAGCAGCACGTTTATGAGTACGCACGCCTAAATGCAAAGGAATCAGATCTGTCCCAAAAAATGTGCTACATAAAGCATAGTACTACAAAAAAACAATGGATACAATCCAACAATGGATGGATAGCCGCCGCACAGAGTTATACATGGGAAAGGATGTGCCTGTGTCAGGTCATTGGATCAGCCTGAGGTATGGCGCCAGGTCACGTGTAATGACAACACACTACTTGCGGTTCATTTTTGAATTGATACGAAACGCTTCAAGAGTTTTACGCGCTAATGTTTTCGATTCGTGTGTGAGGATACTGACTCCTACTTCAAAATCTTCCTCGTTACGTCTGTGTCCTATGCGTACCCAGTGGGGTGCTTGGTCTAGCTTTAAGTTTATCGACTAGGTGTTCTTTTATGCAGACACAGAGTGGTCTACCCTAGGAATTTAGTGGTTCATTACCTCTCCTCTCATCCCTCACACACTAAAAGAGCGCTTATAAGAAATATGTTTTGAACCGCCACCAGCGCGTGCGCAGGTAGAGAGCAGAGGGAAGAATCTAAACTGGCGTGCCAAATAGCCATTTCAAATGGTTACGAAACTGTAGCTTCTCGGCATAGGCATAGAGGAAAAACCACACCCCAGAGCGATAATTCTGGCGAAAACAAGGCTCCATTCCTCTTGTCCTTTATTTCAAACGAAATTAGTGCAGCTATAAAACGTTGCTTAATAAGGGCCGGTCTAGAGAATTTCGTAAGAGTGATAGAAATACCACCGGACACTCTAAGACGCCTGCTAGTTCGCAACCGCTATACGACCGTCTATGTACAACGAAAAACTGCATAATTTGTCCTAACGGTAGAGACGGCGATTGCATGAGTTCGGGTAGAGTCTATTTGATCTCTTGTAAAACGTGCGGGGACGAATACGTTGGCGAAACGGGTAGACCGCTCTGCGTCCGCATAAAAGAACACCTAGTCGGTAAATCTAAATTAAAATAAAACACACCACTGGGCGCACATAGGATGCAGGAACACAACGGAAATGACTTTGAAGTAGGAGTCACTATATTCACGCACGAATCGAAAACATCAGCGCGTAAAACTCTTGAAGCGTTTTGGATCAATTCTAAAAATTCGAAGCCGATGATCCGTGTCGGCGGTGGTCCACACTTCTACATCTTCTCGATGTGGCGTCTTCGTTGTCGTATCGAAAACGGCTCTTCATCAGTGAACACTACATGAGTGAGCCACGCTCAAGCAGAGTGCTCTTTCATGACGAAAGACGTCGAAACGTTAGCCGAAAAAAAACATGTTTATCAAACCCGTGTAAGCTCAACAGTTGAAAAATACGTTGACTATTTTACTACCGAAGTTAAATGACGATTGGATTGCTTTGATAAAACTAAATCCTGACCAACAATTGATTGCGCTTCCAGTCCCAACGACCGGAGCGGCGATGTATACTCCATATGTGTTGCAGAACCTACCTACCAAATGATGAATACACTAAAGCTAGATTGTGGATGAGTTCTTTTCTCATGAGAGAATTTGAAAAGTTCCAAAGGTATGGAACAACACATGGCAGAACTTAGAGGACACGTAGAAAACAAAGAACGTCAAGCAACCAGAGAAAAGGAATCCCAGCGAAAATAGGTGGCAGTGATAAAACAAAGGAGCGGAGAGGAAGTATTTCATTGCAGAGAAGAGAAAAGGATAAGTGGAAGTGTGATACTGAATGCGTCGTTTTCTTTCTCAGAAGTGCGAAAAATATAGGAGTAAGAAAGAATGAATGAGATATAAAAACACATGAAATCATTAATTATTATTTCAACTAGTGAAACCACATTCAATGAAACAGTCCGAGGCTAACTCAAAAGACCTACTTTCTGTAAACCTCCACATAAGTAATCGATACATTTATTTATTTATTCCTACGAATTGCCTTTTTTGAGCTGATGCGAGGTTGGTAAAAGTTTGCTGTTGCTGTTGACGCCGTCGTTGTTGTTGTTGCCGTTATTGTAGTTGTTTGATGCCTGACGTTTCGGCGATTTCTCCTTCCTCAGAGCCGTGTTGTTGCGAGTGGAACCACCCAGTTTGTTCGTAGTGAACTGGTGCTAACAAAACGGGTAGTCCCACCCGCAACAGTACGGCTCTGAGAAAGGCGAAATCGCCGAAACGTCAGCCATCGACCAACGACAACGACAGCATACCAACCACGCATCAGCTCGTCGAAGGTAGCCCTAGGCTAATCTTCAAAACGGCACACTATTACTATGCAAAAACGGAAGAAATTGCGATATTTTAAAACAAGATTTTAAAAGTGGATTACTTGAGAAACATGACTTCAGGTTCTTTTTGCATGGTTGTCCTAAACTACACCTACGACTACTGCCTGGCTTTATAAACGCTCACATATATAAGACGAAAACTAAACTATCCTAATCTTCCATTTTGCAACCAACTTATTGCATCGCACCTCCTGGGTTGGATGAAGGGATAGATAAAAAAGGGAAAAATGAATTAGAGTGAAAGTTATGTCAATACCTTTACGTACGGCTCGGGCTTATTCGGCAGACCAGGAATCCAGTCTAAATCCGCACCACATCCATCCAGTTGAAATCGTCCATCCCCTGCAGATAACGTTAGACTAAATAAATAGCTTTGATTAAGTTAACTACCTCACCTATAGTTTCCCATCAAATTCGGTCTAGATGACGTTCCTAAGTAAGCATATGTTATAGCGAAAATTTGTCCCATTATCAGTTTCATTAAAACTGAAGAGTTTAAGCTTTTTTTTCATCCCAAATCCCACATAAAGGGAAATCTCGTCACGACACACGCAGTGGGATATCCTTGGCTATATTGTCCTTACAAACAGTAAAAAGGGCACTACAGAAAAGAGCTTAAAGAATGAACAGATTTTGAAGTGTAGGCTGAAGTCACTCATGGTTCAACGGAAATCTGGAGACGGTTTAAAGGTGATTCTCACCCTTAAGGGTATAAAACCACAACATCTGTAGTTTTTATCAAATTGGCACCAGCGTTCAATTTCGATGAACGTCATGTGAACTTTTCACCTAATTTTACGTCACGTGCTGTATGCATCGAACCCAGCGCACAAAGGATAAAAGATAAAGCTCTTAGTCAAATGATCCCTAAAGGACGAGTCATTCATTCGTTTTCATCAAGCATCATTAAAGGTAATGGAATGCACATATAACCTAAACAATGACATGGGGTGGCTTAGCGATGTTATCAAGGCAGTGTAGCCAACAAGCGAGAATAAGTGGAGCAACCCATGGGGAAACGAAGGAGTCAGTTGAATTGAAGCGGTTAACAAAGAAAGAAAAACTGCCACTATATATTCATCAGATGTGTCAACTCTAAAAGAAAAAAACGGAATCTTCCACTGAAAAGGAAGCTTTTCTTGGCCCTCATAGGCCTCCAATCGTCATTCTATATTATGTTCGGATTCTGGCAATGAAGAGACTGCTGTGAAATGTCACTCAGTTTTAGCAAAGTGCAATAGTACTTCATCTACAGTTAGGTGAACCGATGCTACTCACCCCATGAGATCGTCCTCATTGAGGAAATGAAGTGCTACGGGAGCGTCACGATCCCACACGCGAAGCTTCAAACATATTTCAGGAATTTGATGAATTAAAAGCCAAATAAACACATTAGACAACATACTTTTAGATCATTCAACTTAATCCTAACTATCTAAGATCGTAATAATCGACTACCATTAGTCCTTCCATATAAGCCACATACAAACAGTTCTTGAAACCCTCACAAAACCTCGCCGTCTTCGAAGGAAGTTACCCTAGTAACAGGGAAACAATATGATCACCACTAATTAGATTTTCATGTACTTGACTAGGGAATGGTAATACAATCAGGGTTAAACACTTGAAAGGGCCAAACAAATTAACCTTCGGATTCAGTCCGTCGAAGTATAGGCACTAAGAACTTCTCAAGGAGTACACGCTAGTACAATTCTGATTTTGAAAAATGAAAGCCGAAATATCTACACAACATTGACGATCAAACTGGACTAACAAAAGAAAGTCCTAACATCGGAACCAACCTCAACGTTCAGATTTCTGGCTGGATTGCGTTCGCACTGGACACGTCCTACTATCTAAACGCACCCTCTTGCAGCCAACGAAAGAGGAACAGAATTAAAAGCCGGAGAAAAACCATCTGAAGCTTACTTTTGTAACTATTGCTGATAAAACAGTATAAATAGCGCACTACACGAACAAAAAGTACAGAGACCGTGAGATCCACTAAGTAGAGGACCATGCCTTTTACAAACAGTTTACGACAATAATGATTGTCGTTATCGCAGTTAACTAGCATCGTAGATCAAATGGGGTTCAACAACTACGCTTTCAAATTTGCACCAATTCACCCTTCTTACCACATTGAACCCAAGAGGATAAAAAAGTTATAGACGTAGGTCAGCCCCAGAGTGAGGCGCCATGCATTCAACTTCCTTAGGCATCGTTAAAGGTGACTGAGTGCATATCTGACCAATACAATGACTCGCGGTGTTGGGGCGGTTCGTTGATATAGAAATATCAAGCAGTTAGCTAGATTCGGTCGGAATTAGCTGCTCGCCCTTGTCTGTACCACGCGGGCCATTTTGTGATTTAGCAGTCATAATGCCAGACACCTCGGACTTGGGTAATTAAACTGTTTATCACAATTATACAAAAATTGTGGTATAACGATACAACTATACAATTAGTGCGACAATGGTACAAGTATATTTATTTATGCGATCTTATAAACTGATCTTCTTAAGCTGACGCGAGGTTGGTACAGATCTTCGTTGTTGTTGTCGTTGTCGTTGTTTTTGA